GACATATATAATACTTTAAACAATAAAGATTACTACATATATAAAATGCTAATATGCAAAGAGTCCCCTCAGGAGTTCAATCGCTCACTATGACGTGTGCTGACCACCAGAGGGCAGCATGGAATGAAGGAAGGCCCTGGCAGGCAGCTGGGGAAGGGAGACCCCAGTTGGCAGCTGGAAGGCCCCAATCAGTCCTGATCGCCTGCCAGGCCTAGGGACCCTACCCATGCACAAATTTCCTGCACCGGGCCTCTAATATATATGTAAAACAGAATGAAGCAGTCACCTGTTCTGAGGGCACTATCCTCGAGTCTAAGATTTGGTGCCCCTATTTCTGCATGCATGATTCTGTGGACTTCTAGCCATCTGGCCATAGTCCAGGGGCCTGGCTTCCTCCGTTTTTTTATGCTATGTAAATTTGCTTTTAATAATAGGATGGATTTTACTTATCTTTTAAACACCTTTAACAACTCATTTGCACCTTGACAAAGGTGAGAAATGAGTAAAGCAGGAATTCTCTTAGTTTCACCAGAAAACTCAAGTACCAAAGAGTCCTTGGTATACAAAAATCATGTGATTTGCCTAAAACCACATGGCTTGGAAGGGGCAGGGTCTGAACTTCAAGCCCTAAGTTTCTGATCCTAAAGTTTTTGCCCTACCCAGACTCCAGTTCCCTGGGTAGGTGTAGAGGGAGTGCAGCACTGGGTACTGCATTCAAGCTGAACTCTAAGGAGTCATTCCCTTCCAGGTTACCTGAGAGAGGAAATGAGCAACGAATGGAAATGAGGGCAGAAAACATGCGAAATAAGATCAATTCGGGAAGGGGGCGTGGGTCCGGGAGCTTTCTTCCTTGACTTCCACCTTAAGCCCAGTTGCAGCCTAGGCTGCCAGGTGTGCAAAATCATGGGCCCAGCTCCAGCTTTTTGGCAGCATAATTATAGGTAGGAAGTGGCAAGTGTCCTGCAACAGACTCTTATCTGCCCTAGTGGGACTGCCCGCGGCTTTAGCCTCACTGGGCGCTAGAGGGGGTGTCTGCCCCGTACCCGGAGGCAGAACATTTCCCCGGCACAGGCTTTAGCGGTGTGGGGCTGGCGAGAGGAAATGGGGGCGAGTCCATCATCCGAGTCCTCGGTGCCCAGCCCTGCCTGGCCGAGGGAAGCTTTAGCCAGAGCCTGGGGCGCGGCTCTCCCAGTGGCCAGGGAGGGCTTGGAGGGTGCGCCAGGCCAAGGCTTCGGCGGGCGGGGAGCTTGGCTGGCAGCTACGCCCCAATCTCTCGGGAGGTCTGGGAAAGGCTCGGACTGACCAGGAGACAAACAGGGTGGCGGGAAGTCGCCTCCATGCCTACGCGGCTCTGCCTGCCTTTCCTCCCGTCCCCACAGTAGACTCCCCCGCCCGGGACGCCCCGCGCCACTCCGCGACTTTGGCCCTGGCTCAAGGTCTTGTGATGTGATTAGCAAAGCCAGCGCCTTGTCCTCAGACACTCGGCCCTGCCCGGGCGTTCAGGCCCTGTTTACTGCAGCCGGGGCGGGGAGCGGGGCGGAGAAACCGGCCCAGGCTCCTCCCGGCGAGACTGCCGCGGCAGTCGCCCCGCTGCCGCCCGCGTGGCTGCTCCCGCCCCCGCCCCCACCCCCGCCCCCACCCCCACCGGGTCTCCACGTGCAGTCGGAAGGAAGCCTCCACCCACCAGACAGACTTAGGCCCTGAGCCCGCACCCCAACGCGCCCCCGGGCCACAGCACCCTTGGCAAACCAGCCGGGCCGCGCCGACGGTTGCAGTATTTTTGCATTTTGCAATTCCCGCGCCCAGTATTAAACTCTGGGTGGGAGATAAAAGCAACGCAATTTCGCCTAGCAGGATCGGGCGGGGAAAGACCCGTCCAGGACTGCAAAACCCCAGCCACGTTCAACGTGCTGGGCTTTTGAACAGTGCAGCCCCAGGGGAGGGAAGCCGCATCTCCCCACCGCCCAGCAGCAGCACCCATCTAGGCCGAGCTCCCGAGCCACCCCGGGCGCCGCCGCCGCCTGCCCCGCCCCGAGGCCTCGCCCCTCCCGAGGAGGAAAAAAATTGGCGGCGGCCAATGGGAGGCCGGGAAGGCCTCTGACGTCTGCTGGCCGGCGGGCAGCCTGTTGCCTGGAGACCCCAGCGGGGTGAGCCTGTCCCCGCCCTCGCCCCGGCCCCGCGGCTTTATAGGGCGCGAGCTCGCCTGCCCCCGAGTTCCAGCAGTCCGCGAGCTGCCGTCGGCTCCGCGCGGGGGGGCGGGCTGGGCACCCCGGGGCGCGGAGAAGCGCTCTTTGCTTCTCTCCTTTTCCCCCACGCCGCACTCCTGGGCACCCTCAAACCAGTCCACGCTTCTTCCCTCTCCCTCCTTTCTCGCTCCCTGCCAACTTTTGGTCCCTCCCCCGCCCCTCTCCCGTTATTCGTCGTGGCTCCAGTCCGGCTGCGCCGCTCCGAAGGTTCCGCCGGACCTCCCAGCCTGCAACTCGGACCATTACAGGATCCAGAAACATGTCGACCACACTTCTGCCCGCCTTCTACGATATCGACTTCTTGTGCAAGGTACGCGGGGGAGCAAGGAGAGAAGAAGGCGGGCAAGCAGGAAGCCCTTCGAGTTTTCAGACTTTGCCTTCTGTCCTCGGCTTTTGGGGAGCCCCCTCCCCACCTTGACTTTTTGGGGGTTGGGGGGAAAAAATCCCGAAGTTTGTAGTAGTCGTGCTGGTTGGTGCCTCATGGGCAGGGAGAAGGAGCAGGGAGGGAGGAAGGGCAGGAGGGAGCTGCTGTAGCTGTTGTTTCTCCCCGGCCGACCGCGGCCACGCTACCCGGGGCTTCCCGGACTGAGTTTGCGCCGCCCAAGCCAGCGGCCCACGGGCTGAGGATCACATGTCGAAACCCAGCACGGCCTGAAGTGGGAGTCCGGCTCCTACCAGCGCGAACTTTTTCGCGTGTATGGGTGGAGGGTGGGGGCCGAGTCGAAATCCGCGAAAAGAAAAAAAAGAACCAGAAGACTGGCAGTTACTCTGCAACTCGCCCCAACTCTTTCCTCCTTGACCCTTTTTGATCCCTTCCCCGCTCTCCTTTTGGCAGACGGAGAAATCCCTGGCCAACCTCAATCTGAACAACATGCTGGACAAGAAGGCGGTGGGAACGCCCGTGGCCGCCGCCCCCAGCTCGGGCTTTACGCCGGGCTTCCTCCGACGGCACTCGGCCAGCAACCTGCACGCGCTCGCCCACCCCGCGCCTAACCCCGGCAGCTGCTCGCCCAAGTTCCCGGGCGCGCCTAACGGCAGCAGCTGCGGCAGCGGGGTGGCGGGAAGCCCGGCCTCCTACGGCACCCTCAAGGAGCCGTCGGGGGGCGGCGGCACAGCCCTGCTCAACAAGGAGAACAAATTCCGGGACCGCTCGTTCAGCGAGAACGGCGAACGCAGCCAGCACCTTCTGCACCTGCAGCAGCAGCAGAAGGGGGGCGGCGGCTCCCAGATCAATTCTACTCGCTACAAAACTGAGCTGTGCCGGCCCTTCGAGGAGAGTGGCACGTGCAAGTACGGCGAGAAGTGCCAGTTCGCACACGGCTTTCCACGAGCTGCGCAGCCTGACCCGCACCCCAAGTACAAGACGGAGCTGTGCCGCACCTTCCACACCATTGGCTTCTGGCCCCCTAATGGGCCCGCGCTTGCCATTTTCATCCCACAAACGCGGGATGAGCGGGAGGCCCGCGCCCATCGGGGGGGCACCTCTGGGGGACTTTGCGCACCCTTTCAGTGCGGCCGAACCGGGTGCCCCTTGGCTTTCCCTCGGGAGCCGAGG